GCAGGTTGAGCGTGAATCGTAGCCAGCACATCTTCATGCGACGTGTAGGCCTGCAAATCCTTCTCGACGAATTCTGAGATAATTCGATCAAGTTCTGCGACGGTGACTTGTTCTGCCTTCATAGGCATTCGTCGCACAGCCTTCAACGAGCGAAGTTCAACCGTAGGATGGAGAGGCGAGTCGGCCGCGAAGCCGTATATCTCGCCATCATCCTCAGATTCGGCAATACTGATGTCCACGTCCGGGGGTAGCGACAGGTCGTAGCCATCCGCAAACAGAACTTCATAGTAGTTATGAGTAATCGGCGTGGAGTAGCTCAACGCCAGGGGGTCCGTATCGTCTTGCGACAGCTCACAGGGGACGGCTGTGCCGGGTTCGATAAACTTAGCGCCGGTGCGGTTCAGGATACCATACTGCGAGTGCTGTACAACCTTCCAATCCGGTGCATCAGCTGGGATGGTACCCGGTATCACAGTAGGGGCCCGGGAACGTGACGAGCGTGTACCCGTAAAGGCTTGTCGCATGGGCTTCGAAGACACGGGCACTGTCGCGTATCCACGTGACTTGTCCGACGGCGAGGGTCCGGACGTAGGTTCTAATGGCGCAGATCCAGACGAATGATCAACTAGCATAGAGTCAGTTGAAGAATCAGGTGCCGTGGATCCTGACGAAGGCACGCGAGGACCAGATGGCGTTAAGGAAACGCGACCCACAGGAGCAGACGAAGAAACCAGGGTGCCATCCGCGAGCGGCGACGCTGAGGCGTCATCAGTGCGCATACTAGCGTCGGAGACATCGGAGGGTCGACGCGGAGATGGGCGTAGGGACGGGGGTCGAACCCGGTTGTACTTGAACATCCGATGCTGTACAAAGCACGTGTCTTGGACTAGGAAAATTCTGCTCTGTTATCTTCTGGGAGCCCTTTCGGCTCCCCCTATTTAATCCTATGCTTCTCATACAAATATCTAATGAAATGTAGTCGTTTCGGATCTCTACCGACCCTTCAGCTGAGTTCCGGCGACCGTTGAGCTCAGCGGCTGTCCGGATAGCATATCCGGACAGATCGCCGAGTACTTACCGTGATCCTTGGCTCCTAAGCTCTGGGT